GTTTTGGCACTATACATAGTTTCAGTATTGGAGTATCACAGGCCAACTTATGACTAGTTAAGATTCATTATTTTGAGATTGAGATTGATATTTCTGTTTATGGTCAAATGGGTCAGTGAGTGTAAGTGTGAACCACCAGGTGGTATTCGTATTATTAGTTGACAGGGTGTATCAGGGAGATAAGATGTTTTCTGATGGTAGTTTTGAAAGTGATGAATGTGTCTGCAGTTTTGGAATTTTCAGGTAAGGTGTTCCAGATTTTAGGGCCTTTGACATACATTGAATTTTTGTAAAGGTTTAGTCGGACACGGGGAATGTCATAGAGATGTTTGTGTCTGGTGTTATGCCTGTAGGTTCTGTCACAACTATCAAGAAAGCGTTTTAGGTCAAGGTTAATATTGGAATTTAAGGTCCTGTAGATGTAGATTGCACAGTAGTAAGTGTGGATGTACTGAACAGGGAGTAAGTTTAGATCTATGAAGAGTGGGGGGGGGTGTTGCCAGGGATGGGATTTAGTGATTATTCTTACTGCGGCTTTTTGTTGGGTTATTATTGGCTTTAGGTGTGTTGCTGCAGTTGAACCCCAAGCACAGATAGCATAGGTGAGGTATGGATATATAAGTGAATGGTATAGTGTGAGAAGGGCAGTTTGCGGCACGTAGTATCGTATCTTGGAGAGGATCCCAACCGTTTTGGATACTTTTTTGGTTATGTGTTGGATATGGGTGCTGAAGTTCAGGTTGTTGTCGAGGTATAGGCCTAGGAATTTGCCCTCATTATGCCTGGTAATTAGAGTGTTGTCGATCTTAATGTTAATTTGCACATCTCCTGCTCTGCTACCAAACATAATGTAGTAGGTTTTGTCAACGTTAAGCGTAAGTTTATTGGCTGTCATCCAAGTCGATATTTTGATCAGCTCCTCATTAACAATGGTGTTGAGGGTTGCAAGATTAGGGTGAGAGATGACATAAGTCGTGTCGTCAGCAAAGAGAATGGGGTTCAGGTGTCGAGATACGTTTGGAAGATCATTGATGTATATGAGGAAGAGCAGGGGACCAGGGACACTTCCCTGCGGAACTCCAGTATCAAGTGGCTGTGTTGTTGATGCTGTGTCTTTAATGGTGACATACTGATACCTATTAGTAAGGTAAGATTTGAAATATGCAAGCGCATGGCCTCTTATACCATAATAGTCAAGTTTGTGGAGTAGGATGCTGTGGTCTACTGTGTCAAAAGCTTTTCTTAGGTCAATAAAAATTCCTAGTGGATATTCCTTATTTTCCAATGCTGTGTAAAGTAGATCTAGCATTTTTATAATTACATCGTTAGTGCTTTTATTTTTCCTGAATCCAAATTGGCAGGGGTTGAGTATGTTTTGTGACGTTATAAATGAATATAGTCTCCTGTGCACGAGTTTCTCAAAGATTTTGGATAGCAATGGTAAGTTTGATATTGGCCTATAGTTGTTTAACCCTTTCAGGGTCCGTCCCGTAGATCTACGGCTTTACGGTGAGTGTCCAAACCGTAGATCTACGCCATGAGCTCAGCTCACTCTGATAAACTGTGAGTGGTACATTTGGGCCTAGATATGAGAGAATACATCTATGTGGTATGTGTGCACCACATAAAACAGATCCTGCAGCACACTGTTTACCTGGAGAGAGAGTTCCGGGGGTCAACGCCCCCGCGGCCCGGTCTGTGACCAGGCCTCCTTAGGTCAGTGTCCCAGGATGCGACCCACACCAGTCGACTAACACCCAGGTACCCATTTTACTGATGGGGAACATAGACAACAGGTTGAAAGAAACACGTCCAATGTTTCTACTCTGGCTGGGAATCGAACCCAGGGCCTCGCCGTGTGAAGCGAGAGCGTTAACCACCAGGCCACCAGAAAAAAAAACTGAAATCATGATTTTTCGATTAAAACAGCAACTTTGCAGTGTTTTTTCGCATGTTTTTTATAGTTGTATTTGCGATTTCTTGGTCTCATTTGATAGAATGGAAGACATATTACAGAAATAGAGATGATTTCGATTGGTTTTAGCACTGGAAATGGCTTGAAACTGAGCTCAAAGTAGCGGAAATGTTAAATTTTTGCCGATATTCAAGAGTAAACAAACGACCTCACACATCTAATACACGCCAGCTGGTGGGTCTAATATACATTCACAAATATGGTGATGATATTTATACAATTATTACAGTATTGCATAACAGTAAATCTTCTATTTTTTGGTGTGAATAAAAATTCATTATGTGAATAAAAAATCAAAATGGAATTTATTTGTAAAGCCTCAAAATATAACTAATGAACAGAGGAAATGTTAGTTTAGTGCCAGGAATGCCTACATTGTTTATTCTGGACCCTATTTTGAAATTGGAATATTTTGAACTTTGTGTTAAATTGGCCAAATTAACAATTTCCGATCACTTTATTTTGTAGTTGAAACAGTTGACTTGGCGATTTCTTGTGCTCAATCGATAGAATAGAAGTAATACTAGTGAAATAGCTAAGAATTTGGTTGATTGGAATAATGTAATTGGCCTAAAATGGGAGTCATAGTCGGCAAAATCGCCGATTCGTAAATATCGCTGACACATCAAAATTCGCGAGAGCATAATTTCGTCAATTTTCCACCAAATTTCGTACTTCTTGTTTTATTACCTTCACAAAAAGATTCTCTACGATTTCATAAGAAAAAATAACAAATTTTTTTTTTTTAAATTCTTGGACACTGGTGCGTGACTCCAGATTTGGGCCTTGGACCCTGAAAGGGTTAAATCTGTAGGGTCACCACCTTTATGTATTGGTGTAACCCTTGCCGTCTTGAGTAATTTCGGGAAGGTGCTAGCTTCTAGTGACTTGTTAAAAAGCAATGAGATAGTATGCGAGAGGACATGGGCCACTCTCTTGTACAATAATGGTGGGACATGAGACAGATTCCCTGAGTTATTTTTAAGTGACTTTATAATCTCGGTGACTTCCGTGGGCTCAGTTGGAGCAAGATAGAAGGAATTTGGGAAATTCCCAGCTAGGAAGTCCCCGGCATGGGCATTGGTACGTGGGATTTTATTGGCGAGATTAGAACCTATGGTTGAGAAGAAGTCGTTTATCTTGTTAGCTGTGTCGGTGGGTTGCACTGGTGTTTCATTAGGTTTAGTTAGGACAATATTCTTTTTTTTTTCAGTTTGTGGGTCCCTAGAATCTGAGAGAGTGTTTTCCAGGTCTTTTTTATATCTCCTCTTGTGTCAGTGAATCTACTGGAGTAGTATAGTTGTGTGGCTTTCTTTATTACTTTGGTGAGGACTGATGAATAGTGTTTAAGAATATCTTTGTGTATTAAGCCCTGTCTATATTGCTTTTCATATTGGTGTTTCTTATCAATGGATTTCAGAATGGTGCTGGTTAGCCATGGGCAACCAAGCCGTTTGTTTGTGATCTGTTTCGTTTTTATAGGACAATGTTTGTTGTATAGTCTAAGTAGTTTGTTAAGAAAAATGTCTGTTCAGTCGTCAATACCATTGGCCTTGGAGAATTCTGTAGGCCAGTCAACAGTCTCTAGGTCAGCTGTGAACTTCCTTATTGAGGCCTCATCATGGAGTCTAAATGAGACTTTGTTGTATTCAAGTGGTGGTTTACTAATGTTTGTCAAGAGGAAGGTAGGGTAGTGGTCTGTAGTGCTATGTGATTATCCCTGATTTAAGGGGGGCTAGTATATTGGTCCATATGTGGTCTATTATGGTTGCACTTGTTTCAGTGAGCCTGGTTGGTTTAGCTATTGTTGGTATGAGAAGTGTGTTGTTCATATTGTTGATGAAATCAGTTACAGGCTGATCATCTAGTAGGCCAAGGTTGATGTTGAAGTCTCCAGCTAAGAGAAGGTGGTGCTTATTCATTTGTCTGTTTGTTATTAGTGCCTTTAATTTCTCACTGAAGTTTGGGATGTTAGTGTGGGGTATCCGGTAAATGGCACCGATTGTTATAGGCGTCTTAAGGTTTTTTACAGTAAAATTAGCAAAAATGTATTCTCCATACATTTCTGCTACTTTGAGCTCAATTTCAAGGTACTTTTCATTGTAAAACCAGTCAAAATCATCTCAATTTCTGTAATCTGTCTTCCATTCTATAAAATGAGACCAAGAAAACTAGAATACAACAATAAATACCATACAAAAATACAGTGCAAAGTCGCTGTTTTATTCCAAAAAAACGGTCAAAGTTTTTTTTTTTTCTCATTATGCACTGTTTGCTGCAGGATTTTTTTTATACTGTGCACACTGACCACATAGACCCATTCTTTCATATGTAGGCCTACCAGCTTTCTCCCACTAAATTTGAGGGCACTAGAATTTAGGCGTACTAGTACGTCAAAAACCCTGGGTCGTAAGCCGAAACCCTCAAAGGGTTAACTGGATGATTCAATTATAGCAAAAGGGAATATCTGAGTATGAATCCATACTTTTGGCAGAAGTGTAGAGATTAAATCTGGTCAGCTGATTTATGAGGAAAAGGTCTCATAATGTATAGCATTTTCTCCTGTGAAGTTAATTTACTTTACTCATTATTGTACAGTAATTTAGAAAATATTTAGTTGACCAGGCTTGCCCTTAACTGCATTAAACTTGGGTGGTAAATCTCCTATAGCATTCAAGGTGGAATTTGCTTATCACTGTATCTCTCATATATTTCAATCTGTTGTATAATACAGTATCACTCTTGGTAGATACAGTGCTAGACTGACAATAGGAGTCTCAAGCTGTTATTTTGTTTCACAAACTTAAATTTATAAACAAAAATAATTTATACAGTACTATTGAAGTTACTTTACATATTAAAGAAGTACTCTTTTCATTACTTCTTGAAGTTTCTTGACTCGGAGTAATGATCTGCAGTACTCTTCATACCATATTCTTATTTTTCATACTCCGCTGCAGTTTTTTAAATTCTGTGACAAATATAGTACTACACTAAAGTAAGATATAGTCTAACCCATCCACAGAAGACCGTGAATCTGATCAGCGGTACCCTTTCTCACGCTGCAGCTCGACTGGATCCATCCATACCTTGACCTCTTCTGCAAACAACACAGGTCAGCAAAACTAGTGAGCTACACTAAACACTTATAAGCTTCACTCTTATGTTTAATGAAAATTTTTAGTACAGTACTGTATTGAGGTCTTCTTCAAGTGACAATTTTACATCCATTAAATTCTATTCAATAAGCATATCATCAAGCTTGCAAGAAATTATTTGTCCATCCAGTGAATTCTACTATAAATAGAGTACTGTTCTTAAATGTGAAGCATGAATGTGCACACACATAAAATGAATATGATGAAATTTTTTGTTGTAGTTAGGATAAAAATGGACATCATGGCCATTAGTGAAATACAGTTTAGTTAAAAAAAAAAGTTGGGAGAGCTTGAGTACGAAGAAATAAAATGGAATTATTGATTAATTTTATCAAAGAGTAGGAGTTAAAGAATGTGAGGTATTAGTGTTGAACAATTCTGTGAAGAAATGACTGGGTATGAATGTGATAAAGTTTTGCAAGAATTAAGAAAAAAATGGGCTTAAATAAATAAGAAAAAGAATACATATGAATATAAGAATATGTGTAAGAATTTTGATGAAGGTGTCACCAAGTGAAACTTTTTTTAATAAAGACTTCATTATTTACATGTCATTGATTTACTTCGTATTGGCTTGCTGCCTCCATTGAACACTTTTGAAAGTGAAATATGAACACAGAAGTGGAAGAGACTGAGGTGGCAGGCATAGTAGGAAAATTTGAGGCACCTAATGAAATGACACTGGCAGATGTATGCTTGAGTTTTCTCAGAATGAATAATTAACAAGTGATCAGTTTCAAAAGTTCTCCTACTTGCAGCCTAGTCCAAGGCTAGATAATGGATAGTACCAAACATATTTTAACCCCAAAATGGATTTTGATATTTTTTCTCTGCGGGTTTATTTTAATTACTGCTTGATTTATTTTCTATGGAAGGAACATCGTGGGTGACAAGCACCATGAATGCATATTAGAGGCTTTCTGCATGCACACCTAAATGTCGCTCATCTCTGTACAAACATTGTATCGTGCTGAAATAAAGAATCTTTAATATTTCATGCTCCTCAAGCAAGATCACTTACCTTGTGGGTGTCATTAGTAGGTACAAGATGTCCTATACTGCTGATTCCTGACTAACTGTACAAAATTTTTTACCTAAGACTAAAAAACTAAAAAACTAAAAACAGTTATTATCAAAATGTTAATTCCATATTCTTAAAGTTGAGCACTCTCATCACTGAGATACGTATAGTATAGGCTCCTCTGAGCCTTTAATGATAAAAGCAAACAACTTTTCTAATTATTTTTATTAGTCTCCAAACAACTATAAAATACATGTACGTATAATACTGTTCTGTATAGTGATATTGTGTACTATTTTGAGTGATCTTTTTTAAGTATTATGTGAATTAAAATTCAGGAAAAGTGTTTTGTACACAGAGAGATAGAAAGGGGTGTACAACTTTGAACACACATTTCTTAAATAGCCATATAATAGGAGTTGAATTTCACTTATCGAAATTCGGAAACTTGAAAAGCTCTGAAAATCCAAAACTTTTTTTGATTGGCGACGTGATGCTGCAGTTGGAAAATTCCATTCAGCTCTGGGAAGGTTCCCAGGCATTGTGCAGGTCTGTGTACCCAGACAGTTGTGACACATGACCTCACATACCCTGGGTGAGTCTCTGACACATTGCTGGCACCAGTTTATCAACAGTTGTCACTGCCAGGCCTGTGTGCATTACTCACTGTGATTACCATGTATTTTGTGTTTATTCTCTGCTCTGTGGTGCAAAGATTTTGTTAAAAATATCAAAAAAAGCTTGCAGATACCCTTTTGGGTATCAGTGACAAGAAAAAATACAGTGTTCGGTAACCTTTTATTCAAAACATGGCATTGTAGGTGCAGACTGAAAACCTGCTGTTGCTGTTCTTGGTTTGTAGCATACGATGCAGGTATTCTGCTGATGCTGCTGTGCCGCTTTTATTAAAAATGTTGTTTTTGTTATTAAAAATATTGTGTAAAATTACCCTCAGGCAATTTGTATAAACTGTATATAAAATATAAATGGATTTTGTGTTTACACTTGGGTCCCATCCCCAAGCTATCTCATTCCAAAATCTTCAAAATTCTGAAATATGAGATGCTTCCAGCCCCAAGCATTTTGGATAAGGGATGCTCAACCTGTAGATGAAAATACTGTATAGAATAATAAGTGTTATAACCACTGGAAATGTAAAAAAATCACAATAGATTATTACCAAAGAAATTACATCACAAGCTTCACTCTCCTCATGGAGAGATGGATGAAGAAACTAGTGGCATGTGGTATAGAGGAAGAAATTAACTCCTGGTCAAGGCATGGCTGACCAGTAGGAAACAGTTACATAAATGGGGAAAAGTCAGAGTGGGGACTCGTTACCTGTGATGCACTACTGGGGTCAGTACTGGGAACCTTGTTGTTCATAATTTATATAGACAACATAGTTTAGGAAATAAATAGTGACATAAGCAAGTTTATCAATAGCTAAAATAGACCATCAGATGGCTATAAGGTAACCTGGATAGGTTGATGTGGCTTGAGAAGGGACAGATGCTGTTCAGTGAAAACAAATGTAAGGATTTAATCCTAGGAAAAGAAATAACTGTGACTTTCATAAGCTAAATCATAATAAAGTTACATGCAAAAAAAAAATTATGATTTCTAGATAGCAGAAATTTTGGCTTTATATAAAAAAACATAATTAATAGAAGTCCTAAAGTTAAAATTCAACTTTAAACAACTTTGGTAAGGCTTCATTTAAATTATGTTGTTCAATTTGATCTCCATATTACAGAATGGATGTAATTGTACTGAATCATACAGTCAGCTCTCTCATAAAGCTCCTTTAGATACCTGGAACATACCTGGAGAAGGTTTCAGGGATCAACGGCCCAGTATGTGATCAGCAGAATTTTGTAAAGCGACTGAAAAAGTGCATCAAAATTTGTGAAGAATGTTCTATGAATGACTTTCCATGCACTGTTCAATTCTGGATATACAGTAGGACCCCAGTATCCATGGGGGATACATTCCAAGGACCTGCCATGGATACCGAAATCGCAGATAGTAGCAAACCCTACGTACAAGTCCTATGCATGCCTATTTTAAAGTTTAATTGATAAATTATGCACAATAGGTAGATAATTATCACATTTTTCACTGATGTGAAGCACTTCACGGCTTCTCTTAGACTTTGAAAAAGTGCCAGCCTCTCTACTTTTGCACTTTGGGGTCATTATTACAGTGGAACCTCGAAAATCGAACGTATCACATATCGAACGTTTCGAAAATAGGGCCATTTTTTCAGACAAACTGTGTCCCTATTATCGAATGCGCCCCTATTTTCGGACCGCCGGGTATGGGACCTTTCTGCCGGCCCGCTCTGTCCGCGTCCCTGCGCAGGCGCCGTGAGCAGTCTAGCTTTGTTTATGCTTGAGTGAACACTAACCTGCGATCTCATTCACACATTTTACGATTATTTCATTATGTTTAGTGCTTATGGGACTGTGAAATAAGCTGCCATGGGCCCAAAGAAACTTGCTAGTGGTACCCCTGTGGTAAAGAAAGTGAGAAACACCATAGATGTGAAGAAGGAAATAATACAGAAGTAGGAGAGTGGTGTGAGACTTGCTGAGCTTGCCAGGATGTATGGGAAAAACAAGTCGACCATCGGTTCTATCCTGTCAAACTACTATTATTATTATTATTATGATCGAAAAGAAGCGCTAAACCCACTAAGGTCATACAGCTATCCTGTCAAAGAAAGAACAAATCAAGGAAGCTGATGTTGCGAAAGGTGTTAATACAGTGGACCCCCGGTTAACGATTTTAATCCGTGCAAGAGGGATAATTGTTGGGGGCGAAATAATCGTTATGCGAATGAATTTTCCCCATAAGAAATAATGGAAATAAAATTAATCCGTGCAAGACGCCCAAAAGTATAAAAAAAATTTTTTTTTACCACATGAAATGTTAATTTTAATACACACAAACGAAAAAGGCATGCCAAAATTTACTGACATACTTTTATTGAAGATCTGGTGATATTGAGGGGATGGAGGAGGGGAGAGCATTATCTTTTTACTTTTTTAGAAGGGGAACCCCCTTTCCTTTAATTGGGTAGTAAGTCCTTTTCGGGGGGTTATTTCCCCTTCTTTTTTAATGCCACTGGGGCCAGTTTCAGAGTCACTGGACTTTTTTGGGGACAAGATATCTGTCCAAAAGTGGCCTGTACCTCTCGTTCCTTTATGCTTGCCTAAAGTTTTTCAAAACTTGTCATGTAAAAATCCCCAAGGGGCTTGCAATAGCTGTGTGGGGGTGATTTTCTCCTGGGGGTTTTCATTTCGGGGCACTTAGCACAGATTTCCCTTTTTATTTTGTAGTAGGCAACTTCTTAAATTTTCTCTCTCCCCTCCTCTGAACCGTTTCCCCGGGTCGGGCCCTTTGCCTTGAAGTTGATTATCAGCTCATCAGTGGTTAGTTCTTCATTGTCCCCTCCCCAACTCTTCCCACCCTCCCCACTAACCTCCAAACCCCAAGGTTTCCCCAAATCCCACAATGGATTCCTCAACTGGCACAGGATTCTCGGGGTTAGCCTCAAACCCTTCAAAACCCCTTTTGTCTACACATTCGGGCCCACAGTTTCTTCCAAAGGGCAGAGTTAAGGCCCTTTAGTCACTTCCCCCCAAGCCTTACCTATAAGGTTTACAAAATTGAGGATTTAAAGGATCTCTAAAACTCTCTTAGAGTCATTGAGTTTGAGGTCTTTACAAAGCCCCTTTAAACAGAGCTTTTTGTGTACAGTTTTTTGAATTTTGGAAATAACCGCGGGTCCAGGGGGTGCGGGAGGGGCGTGGTTTTAGGAGGCAAAAACTTCCCCTTTAAATGAAGCTCATGTCCCCATAAAGCGCTCTGCCAGTCTGTAGATGCCCGGGGGCATTGTTAACACGGAGGCACTTAAGTTCTAATTTCTTT